CAATATCCATCAATGCTTTGGTCCGTAAAATGCCAGAAAACGGTAAAACAAAGTTTGTCATGATCATGTATTGATATGATTTTACTCCCAACCCTGCGTTACACTGGCACACAGTGGATTAAGCACACACACACACACACACACACCTATCCATATTGATATAACCATGCAGACATGAACAACATATTATGAACAGATCTGTGTTCAAATACAAACGCAGCACTCATCGCAGTTCTTAAACTGGTGCTGGCAGTTGTCCGGCTGGCATCCTTGTGTGTGTGTGTGTGTGTGTGTGTGTGTGTGTGTGTGTGTGTGTGTGTGTGGGTGGGTGTGTGTGTGTGTGTGTGTGTGTGTGTGTGTGTGTGTGTGTGTGTGTGTGTGTGTGTGTGCGCGGTGGTCTGTGAGTACCGTAGTAATGTGACAGAGCAGTCTTCCTGCTCAGGCCTGCAGCTAGCCTCCTGTGTTTGTTACTGTGTGTGTGGGTCAGAGTCACGAGTATATATATTGTGTAACCGAGATGGTGTCACTGCAATAGCCACTCTCTGTTTCTGGCGCCTAGTGTTTTTGAGCATTTCAGCACATTGCACATTTTGTAACTTGATGTAGCTCTATTTTTGGCACACAAACACACACACACAGAGACCTCTCAGCCCCAGCACTTTAATGCACTGTCCCCTGGAGGCAGGTGTAGGACGAAGCCCACCTCTTACCTTCACTCACCTGCAGTGCAAAGATAGAAGGAGAAAGAGAGGGATGAAGGCAGAGAAGCTGCTACATTATTCACTGGATGTCAGGATAGTTAAGTGACTGCTGGGTTTTATAAGCAAAAGAGAGCCAGAGGAGTTGCAAGGAGAGGGAAAGGTGAACCGTTATGGGGTTCGGAAGTTTGTATAAACGCATCTCGGGTAGAAACCCACCAGTCCTCGTTGTTCTCCCTCGTATCCATCTACATAGAGGTTACTACACCATGATGACAACAGCAAAACATCTACAAACAGATTTGTTTTTCAGTGGCGTGTACGAGTAATTTAAGAGAACTTTCATCAATTTTATTTAAAATTTCCATTTACGTGTGTCTGCCTTACTTCATGAGGGAAGATAATGTAAATGTGTAATTCCATAATCTGAGTTAACATGGATTTTATTTTGATTAAATAATTTTTGCTCTGTTAAAGAAACATCACTTAAACCCTGATAGTTGATCCCATTTATTACCATGACTGCTATTTTTTATTTAAAATAAAATGTAACTTCATATGAAACCACTCATTTATGTCATAAGTAGTCATAGTATAGTATGTCATTAAAATAGTAATGATGTCATGAAGGTTAATATAGTATGGTATGTCATTAAAAAAAGTTTGCTAAATTGTCTTTCTTTTTCTTTCCAGGAGTCCTTTAAGTTTTATGCAGACAAGCTGAAAGAGAGAGCAGCCAAAGTCCAGACGACGGCTGAGGCATAAAGATTCATCCTCCTCTCCTCCGACCTCCGACCTCCTTCCAAATCCCAATTTTTTCGTCCTATCACACTTCCTTTCTTTTTTTATAAGGTGTCCGCGCTGAAGTATAGAGTATTGTGTTATAACCGTTGGATATTATACTCTGTCCACTGTGCTCTTGATAATATTATTGATGATGATGTTGAGAATGTACAGAAGTATTTATGCTAATAAATGTCACATTCTGAGCCTGAGTCTTCGTGTGGTTTAAAAGATATTTGGTGGTTAAATAAACCTGTTCTTCAGGGCAGCAGGTAGTGTAACGCACTACATTCACAATGGTTCAGCTCCATTGAGGTGTCCTATTGAGGCTGCATGTACGATCCCATGATATAGTTTGTTAGAAAAAAGTCATAGTGAGGTATGTAATGGGAAAAGACGAATAAAAGTAATATGTCTTTGAAAAGTGAAGTAGGATGTCGACAAAAGTCCGAAAAAAAATTTAAGTAAAGTGTCACAAAAACCAGTACAATAGGTCACAAAAAGTCCTAGTATTATGTAGTATGTCATGAAAGTGACGGAGGGGGAAAAAAGTCAGAGTATGATATGTCATGAAAGTGACGGAGGGGGAAAAAAGTCAGAGTATGATATGTCATGGAAGTAAAGAATCGAAAGTAAAGTACATCATTAAAAAGTCAGTGTAGTACGCCTTAAAATAGTCATTGGATATGATTTCATATAAAGTCAGACAAAAAATCAGTATGTTGTGAAAAAGGTTTTATTACATAGTATAGTGTCATAAAATACTATAGTATGTCATAAAAGTAATATAAAATCATAGTATGCCTTAAAAACTCAAAAGTGATTTAAAAGTCACTGTACAATATATCAAGTCAGAAAAGTCATGAAAAAGTCATAGTACAGTATGTTAAAAAAAGTCACTAATGTCCAAAACAGTCTAATATACTATGTTGAAAAAAGTCCGATGTATGTCAAAAAATTACAAAAAAGTCACAGTACAGTATGTCAAATGTGATAGAAAAGTATATTATGTCATGAAATCAACAAGTCTAAATGTATAATAAAATGCCACACTATAGTATGTAATGAAAGTAATAAAAAAGTAATGGTATAGTATGTCATACAAAAGCCATAAATAAGTCAGAATGTATAGCACGTCATAAAAAAGTAATAGTACAGTATGTCATGAATAAATCATAGAACAGTATGTAATAAGTCTTAGTATATACCTTCTGTCTCTACTTCTACAGTGAAGACAGCTATTTAGCAGCATTAATTAGTACATAAGCGTAATAATAATGTACAAACATACAATGTAAGGAGCCGGTGTAATCTGCAGGAAAGCTCTCACCTTCTCCCCTCCAAAAAGCACCCACCTCAACACTTTGTCTGGATCCAAACACTGATTAATTAGTCAGGAACAGATGCAGAGTGCGAAAGTGTGTGTTTGGGGAGTGTGCTGCAAATCCCTAATTTGAGTATTAATGGGGATTTAAAGATGAAACGAGACAACCTGGTTGGAGAGTGGAAACCATTAGACGGACCCAGGAGGGCGCCACTGTAGTTTACCTTTGGAAAGAGGCAAGATAGAGAGAGAGAGAGACACACACACACACACACACACCGTATAGCCTCACTATGTGGCAAAGGAGCATTTATTGCCGTTTGTTTTGTATATGTTTGAACATAAATGTATTTTTAAGTCCTTTACGTTTCATGCAGACAAGCTGAAAGAGAGAGCACTAAAGCCCAGACGACAGCTGAGGCATAAAGATTCATCCTCTAATCCGACCTCCTTCCAAATCCAAATGTGCTCCTCCTTTCTCTCTCTCTCTCTTTTATATAAGTTGTCTGAGCTGGAATGATGAGCACTGTGTCTGCTGAGCTATTGATAATATTGATGGTGGAAATGTACAGAAGTATTCCTGCTAATAAATTGGTATTTGTGTGGTGTAAAATATATTTTAGTGGTACAATTAACCTTTTTTTTTCAGGGCAGCAGGTACTGTCAAGCACAACTAGAGAGCTAATTACATTAACAGTGGCTCAGCTCCACTGAGGTGTCCTGATGAGTCTGTCTGCATGATGCGAGGGCCCTGAAACACAGAAGAACTAACGCAGGACGGTTATCAGTGACACCTGTGAGTGAATTATGAATCATTATAATGCACTGTTTATGCAGTAAGTATACAAGAAATCAACGTACATCAAGCTTCAACCTAAGAACACTACTGCAAATTAAACTTCACAGACAGGCTTTTCTTTGTTTTCTGAGGTGGAACTGTTTTATTCATTGTATTCACGTTTCAAAATACACTTTAGTATCAGTTAGTTCACATTTGCATGCAGCTCAGTGGTGGAAAGTAACTGACGACTGTACTTTATAAAGTATTTTTATTTTACTTGAGTATGTCCATTTTCTGCTAGTGTACACTTCACTACATGTCAGAGGGAAATATTGAACTATTTACTCCACTACATTTATCTGACTGCTAGTTACTAATTACTTTACAGATTCAAATTGTACACACCAAACCTACGAACGCTTTATTATATATGATGCATTGTTACAGATCAAATTACCAAAACGTATAGAAATAGAAAGCTTCAGTAATACTATTCACATAATATTACATGTGGTACTATAGGAGCCATTCTGGTGCATAGTGAGTACTTTTACCTTTGATACTTAGTCAATTTTATCAACAACACTAGTGTTCTTTTATTTAAGTATTATTTTAAATTTACATTTTTGATATTAGTTCTTTTACTGAAGTAAAGGATCTGAATATTTTTTCCACCCTTTTGTGCATTGCGATGTGGAAGAATAGTACACGAAGTGTTTCATACTGTGTTATGTCACTTTTCTGGTGTGAACATAGAATTTGAATGTTGTATGGATTTGGTATACAAAAGATATATATTTTTTTCTTTACTTAGCATCGATTTTCATGAAATACTGTCTTGTGCAGTCTAACTCAATGCCAGCTTCTCTCCTCTGTCCCCGGACCAGCATCTGCAGCCCTCTTCTGCTGGGCTTTGAACCCTTTATGTTGTCAAATCCCGGCCTCAGATATTCCTGTTTCATGTAACACAAGCTGCTCTTGACCTCGACTGAGGCGGGCCTTAGATAACACACACTGGTCGGTTTCCCAAGAAGATTGTGTGCTAGTTGACGTCAGAGGGTCGGCCCTGGGCAGCGGAGATTATTTAGGATACAAATCAAGACGCAGGAGAAGTAACTTCAGGAACTTTTGTTATGAACCACAGCTTGTTTTTTTGCAGTTCTCTGCTTATCGCTATGGTGTTACATGCACTTGATATTCCCTTTATGATGACATATGAAGAAGCATTTCTAAGGGATTTGTGTGGTGTGGAAATAAAAACCCAGAATGTGAAAGATAATCAGTGAAAATAATCGCATTATCAACACCATTCATCGTTATGAAACTGCTCAGCTCCAAGTGACTACACCATGTTACTGAATGACCAGGTCAAAGGATAGCCGAGAGCATGAGGACACAAATAAACACGCTCAAGTGGAGCAATTTGATTTAATACTTTACTAATTTGGACTCAAACCATGTCTGTAAAATATTATTCAGGCTTTTGCAACAGTACAAAAATACACAGTTTACATAATCTTCAATCTATGAGGACACAAGTACAAGCTCCTTTTTTCTTTTTTTTCCAAGTGTGACTTACTAAATCTCTGCTAGGCTTTTCTTTCAGTGCTTCCTATACTGGCCGCACATTGTTAAGCTTAATAACCTTACATATACAAAAGAGATAAAGCTTTAGAAAAAAAGAAGATTGAAAATGGAACAAGCAAAAGCTGCAGATGGATATCAGCCAAAGTGGCGCTCTAATCATTTGCAAAGATGGATCCGAGAGGGAGAGAATCATTTCAACTTTGCCATTGGTGCGGTGCTCTGCTGCCACCCAGCAGCATACAGCAGTACTGCAACACATGGTTCTCCTAAACAAGGTTTTCTTACCCAAATCCTAATTATGTTAAACATGTTAACGCTGGATATATGATAAGATTATTTCAACTAAAGATGAGAAAAATTGCTGCACTTTGAGGATTTTTTAAATATATATTAAGCAGGGTTACTTTAAGAGCACTTCTGAGGTGCCAGGGGGGTCATTTCATGCGTTTTTACCACTAAAACAAGTCGGTGTAATGGTAAATGGTATTTCCAAAGATATATCTTACTTTTATCCCCTAAATTTAGCACTCTACTCACTATAAAACATCCCAATAAGAACAGTAAAATGACAGAAGACAGCATGGCTCAGTGTCGAACCAGTCGAACTAGAACCCAAATGACTTCCTTCCACTGCTGCACAAAAAACACACACTCCCTGACTCTGATGTCATTTGTGTGATTTCAGCCAGCGTTTGGTCTGAGTGTTGAAACTGGCCCAGATGTGTTCACCAGTCCTGACTGGACTTCTGCTTGATGTATTTTAAGCACACGTAATAGAGCGCCATGAAGCCCAGACAGACTGCCAGCAGGACTAGATAGCACGAGTACAGAGGATACTGGTTCATGTTCATGGCCTCCACCACCTCAAAGACAAACAGAGAGGGTTACAGGATGAGCGGGGTGTTGACTTGACCATGTAAAGTACATTGGTTTCAATAGTTGTGTTCATTTATGTGCAATTATTGCCAAATATTGTGGTTTTCCGATTAAAAAACTGCACAACCAGAAGTATTCAGAAAATGGACAGAGTGAATCTGTTTGTTCTTCTGTATTTGTGTTTTCGTTTCTAACTCACGTGTATGCCGTCAACATGGATGGTGAAGTTTCTGATGGTGACGGGGTACATGTTGCCACTGAACTGCACCTGCAGCATGCCCTCAAAACCCCAACGCATGAAGGAGGCGTGAGAGAGCCACGAGGCCACTGAGAAGTCAAGAACATGCAGAGGTGTAAACTTCACAGACTGGCCAGCTGTTCTCTATCCTCACACATCTTTCCACTGAAGGAAAACATGAATTCATCTCCTCACCAAGCCACATATTCTCCAGGCTGATGACAAAGCCTCCGGTCAAATAGAAGACGGTGAAAAGGGAGTTGCCCATGAAGGCTGAGGTCTGCAGGGTGGGCAGCGCGGCAGCTACAAACAGAGCCATGGCTCGGCTGCAGTAAACCATCAACCACACCAGCAGGAAGTTGAGCAGGAAACGGTCCGGAGCCTCGTTAAGACCGGCCAGCCAATAGATGGGCAGGCCGTACACCAGGGTGAACACGCAGTGCTCTGGTAGCTCCCCCAGGATCTGAATGTGGGGAATGCATACGTTCAAATCTACAGAAATTAAGAGAAATTCACACATTCTGGACACTTGATTCTAGCTGCACGGAGACATGCTTTCCAACACCACAGTACAGTAGTGTACAATACACTAAAGAGGGACTCCAGCATGGGGCGAGGCTGACCCCTACTGGAGATCACTGTGGCTTACCTTGGCAAAGAAGTAGGAGGTGACGGAGTACATGCCGTCCTCCAGCTCGTGGTAGAGCATGGCTCTCTCTGTGTGACCTGCAGAGAACATGAAGTTAGTCTGATGAGTTGCAGCATTATGACCTCTAGTATCAGGGTGCCTTAAAGATTATAACTGATTATAACTGTTGTTAACTGCTCGACTGATTTGCAGACTGACAGCTGTAGTTACTCACATTTAGCTATGACGTCCAGCACCACAGCGAACGGGGTGAGAGCTCCGATCATGTAGAGGAGGGCGACTGTGTCCTGAATGGACAGACGCTCTTCTCCTGCCCCGTAGTAGAGACAACCGATCAGCAGTGCCATGAGGAGGGCCTCGAAGCCGTGGACGAATAAGGTGACCAGGTCTCTGTAGTCATTGTACATGTGACGCCTGAGGGAGAAGATAAACACACGATACGGATTAGGAATTATTGTGATATTTGCTGATATTTATCTCACAATAACCAATAAACAACCAGCTACAATAACATGACTGCACACTTTACCACCAACCCGAGTCAGTTGAAACACCTGAACACTTCCTGCTGCAATTGGGAGTTAATGAGAACTAGTTTGCACTGAGCAGAGAAATTAAAAATGAATCGAAGTAACAGAGAACTTATTCAAAAGTAGAGAGCAAATGTCAATATCTAAGTCTGTCTGTAAACCACTGCTGTTATACCTCTTTGTGAGTTGCTCTCACCTGATGAGGATCGTAAATTGGTGAAGTCGGCCGGGTAGTCCGTTACTCTGCTTGGAAATAGTGATTACTTCCTCTCCTTTAACTTTGCTCATCTGCTGAGGGCTGCAGGCAGGAAAACAGTGTCTGTGTTAGCACACTGGAACCAGTTACATTATTAACATTAAAGCATGAATCTAGACATTTGTTTGCGTCCAGAGCTAAAACTCAATTACAAAACACAAAAATCATTTTGCCTCTGAGATGGGTCACTCAAAACACAGCTACGTTGTTGGGTAGCAAGTTGTTCAAGCTACCCAAAAACACCATGTAGCTGCTGCTTCAATAAGTGAAACACCAACCCTGCCTTTATATATCAAGTTATTTCATTGCTGGGGAGAAGGGAGGTAAAAGTTGGGGAAAACACGTGAATGTCTAGGTAAAGGAAAAGGTGAAGAAAAGAGGGCAAACTTAAGCACACTGCTACCTCTCAGTTTGTGTTGGTTCTGTGTTGGTCCCAGCTGGTTTCCACATGTGAGTGTTTGTGTCTCGGACCTTTTCCATGAACCTCTCAGCCAGAACTGTGGAACGCTCCAAACACTCGGCCTCTCGCTCTGGACTGCGCCGGTCTATACTGATCAGATCAACTGGACACATAAAATAAATAGTGTTATAAAGAAGAATGGGTCACAGTTGACTCCGAGGATGTTTCAAGATATTTATCATTAATCTGATAGAGGTTTGACAAATTTAAAGCAGTTTTTCTGCATTGGTGTCACCTTTCTTGGTGCTAAATGTCCTCTCAACCAATGAGCTGCCAGAGATGGTTGGGCGCTGAAAACAAACACTTCTTGATGCCGTTTAGACAGCTTTCTACACACACTAACCATAGAAGTCAGAGGGGTTGCAGTATCGTGGGCAGGGGTATCCGAGGGTAGTGAAGTAAGGCACCATGTCACGAGCGGCGCCGCAGTAAACGGCCGAACCCGACGACAGCAGGACGACGAGGTCGAATAGCTGGAAGATGTCAGACCGAGGCTGGTGGACCGACAGCAGGACTAGACGGTTTCCCCGAGCCAGGCGGGACAGTGTGATCACCAGGTTGTGGGCTGTGAAGCTGTCCAAACCTGACGTGGGCTCGTCCAGGATCAAAATACCTGAAATGTAAAAGAATACCAGTTCAATAATCCATAAAAAGACAGGACTCTCTTGCCTGAATTGTCCCCTTCCGTCTTGTTGTTGGCGATCCACTGGTGGTGGTAAGGGGGTTGTGGCGATGCGGGATGGCTGGGGCCTGTGATATCTAACGGGATTCAATCTTATCAGGGCAGGCAATGAGATGTGTGGATAATACTTAGTGGTAAATATGTAAAAAATGTCATCATATAGCATGTCATAAAAATGTTCTAAAAAGTAATTGCAGCTATATGTTATTAAAAATATGCCATAAAAAGTCATACAAAATATATAGTATAATAAATAATCTGCCGTTGCTGCAGCCATCATTTTCTTTGCCTGTAGGTGGCAACATAAACACATATCTGCAGGTCTAAACTGCTCCTATTACTTTCCTCTCCTGTAGGTGGTGAAGGTAAAAGGGAAAATCAAGAGTTTCAAGAGGTTGTTTTCTCTCACCGGGGTTCCACAGAAGTTGGACAGCGATACTGACTCTCCTCCTCTCCCCTCCAGAAACGCCCCTCACGTAGTCGTTTCCCACCCTGGTGTGAGCACACTGTCGCAGCCGCAGCTCTGCGATGACATCATCCACCTGTGACAGAAAACAGCACAAAGTTTGTCACAGATAACGTATCAAATATGTCTTTCACAGCACACAGAACAGTGTTTTCAGCAAATGGAGAATATACGTGTTATTATAGGAGTGTGACCTCTCAAGTATGAGGCCAGTGTTTGTATTACAAGCTGTCCTCATGTTGTGTACATTCTTTGCTTGGTTTAATCTTACCCTCTGGTCCCTCTGGGCCTGTGTGAAGTGGGTGGGGAGCCTCAGTTTGGCAACAAAGGCCAGAGTTTCACGGACAGTGAGGTGAGGAAGAAGGCGGTCGTCTTGGCGGACATGAGCGATGCTCTTCTTCACTAGCTGCGGCGTGTTGGGCTTCCCGTTAATCAGAACCTGACCGGATGTCATCGCACCGGCCTCATCGCGACATGTTATTATGTCGAGCAAAGATGTTTTACCGCAACCTGGGAGAAGATTATTATGTATTTAAAGCAATAATGAAGCATCAAACTAGAATCACTATATGCAAGTCAAAATATGATCTAAGCTGTGAGCAGCATAGGAAGGCAGGTAGCCTACTACAAGAAGTTTGAGGCATTGATAAGTCTCAAAACATGGCAGATGTTTTCTTGCTTTCTTTATAGTTCATGCTGCTGGAATCTAAAGAAAGATGACGTTTTTATTGTTTCTCTGTTGTGTAATATGTTTCATGTAATTGAGGCTTTGGATGTAATGTAATGCTGCTGACTTGACAGGTTCAGCTGTGTGTGTGTGTGTATGTATCACCTGAGCTGCCAATGACTGCCAGCATTTGTCCGCTGCGGACTCGGAGGCTGAGCTTGTTGATGGCTGTCTGCTTGTTCCCTTTTATCTCCCACGGTAACTTGAACTCTGATAACCTCTCATACCACGGGATCTGAGCCGCTGTGTCCACCTGCAAGCAGACACACACACACACACACAGACACAGACACACACACACGCAGACACAATTAACACATATACAGCAACATGCACATATGCAGTAAAACATGCAACAGTTAAAGGCTAAATATAACTGTGCATGAGAGCAGAGCGGCTGCCCCTCGGTTACCTCATAATGCAGGTTGTTGACTTCCAGCTCATTGCACCCTCCACTGTAGGTGAAGTAGAGACTGCTGTCTTCTTCAGACGAGAACAACTCGTTGTCTCGACGCTGTTAAAGAGGAGCAGACAGGTCAACTAGTTTCAGAGGGGCAAGCACTCATTCGACATTTTTGTCTGTATCCATATTGAGACAAATAACAAACTGCAAGTAAAGATCAGTAAGCGTCTTAAAACTCTTTTTTAAATAAAAGCATTGTTTTAAAGTTGCCAAATGTTTGAATAATGATAGTTGATGAATTGATTTTTGCTTGCATGTTCACCGTGTCTGTCAAAAAAAAAAGTATACAGTGCTTTAGTATCTGCAACTTACATTACACTTCAATCAACTGATTTATTGTACGGTTTTAATTACTCATTTATTTAAGGATCACTGTGTGCATGCAAGAGCATGTTTGAGTGCATCGTTGTGTGTGCAAACAGTTGCCCGAGACCTTTTGTGGGTTCAGGGTCCATTTGACAATGCCACTAACATTACCATTATGTAATCCCTAAATGTTTCCAAAATAAAGAATGCAGCACATGTACACTATACAGGGTTACATTGAAATAACTGTAGATGTCATGTAAAACAGCTGATGTGACTTCTAGTGACATGAACATACAGTTTTCTTTATCACATTAATGTGTTCCTTGTTCAGGCATTCAAAATGTTGTTCATGCAGCTCTTCTAACCAGTTATTATCAGATGTGATAACTGAAATAATACAGTAAGGCCTGTGGAAAGCATACGTCTCCAATGCTCTTAATAAAGCATACTTGAGATCAAACTAAAAACATTATAGTGTATATATCTTTTTAGATAGACTGTCACGGCCTAGTGCAGCATGGTTTTACAAAAGGTGACACTTAGAAAGTTAGTAAAACCTTCACAAGTATTTTCATTCTGGGAAAACTGGGGAACAAATTAATTATAAATAAACAACAACATAATGACCTAAAGCTGCATTCAGTCTGCAAACTTACAAGCAGAAAGGATGGACTCTCAAAGATATAAATGGCCTGATGATCATACACATTTTAAGCATTCATGGTAAAATGACTTCCTATTCATTCATAGTAATATATATATACTATTGTATATTCTATAGAAGAAATAAAAACTACTTAGATATCAAACGTTTTGACTGGAAATATTAAAGCAATTGTTTTTTATGTTGAAGCCAAATAAACAAACTCAAATTATGGTCCTCTGTCTTAGGAAATAATCACTAAAACTGGACTCTTGACCAACAAACCCACATTAATATATTCAATCTGATTTGGGCACACAGCCAAAGAGAGTTCAGAAGCTCAGTGGCTGGTGGGGGTGGGGAAGAAAGGAATCAAGGTCTTTTGGTTGATTTAACCAAAGTGTATCAGTATATCAGCAGAGGAACTTCAAACCAATGCCTCGGGATCCTAATGAACTGACCTGTGAGGAGCTGTTTGTATGATTAAGGCCAGTATCTGTGTCCATGACGAGGCAAGTTATTGGTTGATGTTTGTAGGGTCAAGAGGTCGACGCCCCCGTTTTTCTTCTTCTGTTCTGTTCCTCTCTTTTTCCCTCTATGGGTATCTGCCTTTGTTACTCGTTGTTCGCCCGTTGTTCCCCTGTTCACCGTTTCTTCTCTCTGTTAGATCTTTGACTCCAGTCCAGCTGAAGATCTCCTCTTGTCTCAACGCCTTCTGCCTCAAAGCGTTCAAATTCATGTCACGTCAGTTCTTCATCTGCTCCTGTTACTCGTATCTTCTCTGGTCCCAGCGCTCAACTTGAGGACTGAGACAGTCAGACAGTTATCCCTACTTTATAGAGCTCCAGATCAAAGTTCTCTGAGATAACACAGCGTTCACTGTGTGTTTATGGTTCCTGAGAGACACCACTGCTATCGCACTGCTGCTCTGAACAGGCAATGGGTGCAGAGAAACAAAGTCTGGGTCTCTAAGACAACTCAAATTTAGAGCTTCACTTCCTGTTTACGAGCGCGTGGATATGAACAAACTGATCTGAGACGGACTTGACATACGGTTGTTGTTTGGAGTAGCAGACTGGCCGGAGACATGAACAAAGTTTATTCAATGCAGGCGGTGGAGCCAGAGAACGGGAGCAAAGTCAGGGAGTCCTTCAAGTTTGTGTCGGAGGGAAAGAGGGATGAATGTGGGGACGCTGAAGAGGAGCGATCAGAGCCCTCCTGTTGTCTCAGTGTCAGGAAGATCCACTACACAGTCAGGTAAAGAGTGTACAAGAGGATGACTGAGAGACAACAACATGCTGAGAATCAATTAGACATTATACTATATCATTATGCTCATATACAGGCAGGTTTGGGACACATTATCTGCATTTTTATGATGACAGAAGAATAAATGTAACGCATGAGAAGTTGCAAAGTTTTGTCTATGTAGTGTCAAATAAAACACACTGCTGACTGGTGATAAACACATATAAATCAATTGAAGATCGTGCCTCTGTGTGTGTGTGTGTGTGTGTGTGTGTGTGTGTGTGTGTGTGTGTGTTCTAGTGAGCGTGTGGGTCCATGGTGGGACTTACCCACCTACAGGAAGCGATGGACTCGTCAGATCCTCAATGATGTCTCCTTTCACGTGGACAGCGGGCAGATTATGGGCATACTGGGCAATTCAGGTTCGCTCTTAGCTCAGTCAAAAGTGCAAAGTGTTTAAGCACAACAACAAAATAATCCCATATTTTTAGGACCATACAATAAGATACATTTTCAATGGATTCTTCTGAGAGATTTTGTGATTTAGACAAATAATTTAGGGTAAATAAAGGCAATGCAACAGAACCTTTTTATTCAAGTTAAAGCTCAAATTGAATGGGGAAATGTCCCTCTGCAGCAAACAGGGATTTATGTCGATGGAGAATCCGTCTATTGCCAATCTAAAATGTTCTTAGCTATGTGGCTATATTTTTTACTGTACGTTATATATATCCATGTGTGTGTGTGTGTGTGTGTGTGTGCATCTTGCCTTGTAAAGGCTCAGGAAAGACCACGCTGTTGGATGCCATCTCAGGGAGGATTGGAAACTGTGGCACACTGTTGGGGGAGGTCTTCGTTAACGGCATGAAACTGAAGAGAGAAGAGTATCAGGACTGCTTCTCCTATGTGCTGCAGGTAACACACAGACATAAAGTACACACAGGTCAAACACAGACAATCAGTTATTTGTGACCTCAAGAAAGTAATTAATTTTTCTGGATGTTTCAAACGGGGCCTTCAGCACATCTCAACAAGAGAGAAACACAATCAAACATTGGATTTGTTTGTAGAATGTGACTGGAACCAGTTGTTTGTGCTTCCAAACAGCAGCATAAAACTGCTGAACTGCTAATAAAGAGGCTAAACGGTGGTTTCCCTCGTTCTCATAACACACTGACATCAAGTGAAACTTTGCCCCGTATCACATGTGGGTGGCTGCATGCAGACAGTTTGTGTGTATTTAAGTTGCCTGTGGTTATTCACCATAAATACCAAACTACAAACTCAATGAACATGCACCATTTTGCAAAAACTCCTGAAAAGGTTGCCCTGGCCTCTGGATGAAATTAACTAAAGGCCCTTGCTGGCCTCCTCATACACTTAATCTCTCAATGAGAGGTGCTCAAGTGTATCCAAAGCTTGAATTAAAAACACTGGCTTAAAACTGGCCTTGCTTCCTTTCAAATCATCTCCCTCTTCTAGCTGATAGCACCCCTCCTCTGCTCTCTAAGCCTCGTCATTAACTTCCCCTGCTAAGCTGTAGATGAGGAGGTGATATGAGCTCTTGATATTAAAGTCATTCAGATGAGAGACTGAGGAGAAGTGGGATTGGGAGGCGCCATGTGTTAATTGAGGCTGGCAGCAGGTTCAAGGCATAAATGTGTGTGTGTGTGTGTGTGTGTGTGTGTGTGTGTGTCTGGGGCAGAGGTATGTTCCAGTCGGCGTATACGAACATACAAATATTCAGAGTACTGCTGTATGTGTCCTATATGGATGTACACCTCGGTGTGCAGGGATGTGATACTTTAGATAATACTCTGAAATCTACACTTTTCTGTTGCTAATAGTGTGAAGCATGGATGTTTACAGTAAAGTTCATGCCAGAGACAACATTACGTTTCATGATATACTGTAGTTTGAATACTGATGAACAGACAAGAGGAATACGGAGGAGATAATACTGATATATGCCTCTTAGTGGAGATTAACTACAAGCAGCAGTGTCTTAACCTTTTCTCTGTGTTAACCCATAGTCTTACTCATCTCTCTTATAAAGGAAACATTTAGGAAGCTATTTTACAATACATTGTCAATATATCCTTAATAAATATTGTCTGCCTCACTGCATCTCTTACTTGTTTCTCGTCTTTTCTGATATTCTCTTACTCTCTCTTTGTCTCTTTCTTTTACAGAGTGATAACTTGTTGAGTTATCTGACAGTGGAGGAGACTCTGACCTACACGGCTCAGCTGGCCCTGCGGAAACACTCGACCAAAGCTATAAAGAAGAAGGTGACTTTTAGAGAGCCTCCTCTGCTCTGTCCACTCAATCAGATTTCTTCAGCTGAAGCATTGCTCCCGGCTAGAGAAAATATCTTCACCATGCCAAATAGTCACAGTTATTTCAAAGAACATCAGGATGACTAAGAATATAAACTAGATACAAACAATTCTTCAAAGGTCAAATGAGTTTGATATTTTATGTAACTCCTCCTGTGTCTAATGCACACGTCTAAGTATACTAGAATATGTATTGGACCAATGTGTTCGTCAGCATCTACACACACAGCTGGTGTGTTGACCATTGTAGTCCAATGCAAAAAGATCTGAAAATGTCAACTGGCAAGCCTATGTTCATGATTTTTAAATAAAAAATGGAAACGTATATAACTTCCTCCAATTTCTATTATTTCAGTATTTCCTCATCCTGTTTTGAAACAAATGCAAACCTCCTGGCCCCGTTGTTTACAGTCAGCCTTTGTTGGCTGATTTTTTATTAGTAGTAATTCTCAGCTGACCCTCCACCTCTGACTCCTGTGCAGGTGTCGGCGGTGATGGCCGAGCTGAGTCTGAGTCACGTGGCCCGAAGTGTTATTGGGGGTCGTGTTTTCCCAGGGATCTCCGGGGGCGAGAGGAGGAGGGTGTCCATCGCCAGCCAGCTACTTCAGGACCCAAGTGAGTACCTCTGCAGCTGGGAAATATGAGTTTCAAATTAACTAAAGTGTGCTATTGCTGCTGATTTAAGGTGTATCAAGGTAAAAGCCATTATCTCTTAAATCCTTAAAGCTTTACATAACTCAAATGAGGAGGTGTGGCATAAACTGAAGCATTAGAGGTGATCCTTTTAAAGCTTTGAAACACATGGGACGAGGATTATACAAAAGGGGCTGTGGCACAATATCAGAAAGTTTTGCTCACTCTGTTTAGTAGATTATTGTGTAAAACATGTGATATTTCATACATATACTGTTGGAAGCAACAGGACTGAGCTATCCAGAGAACAGAAGAAAGTTCACTACAAAACCCATCTCTCCCCAAAGATTTTTAGAAGTCCACGCTGAGAAACAAAGGGATCTAAGTAAGAGAGGACTAAGGAAAGGACAGAGAAAGGGACAGAGGGAGAGATCGAGAAGCATAATGAAAGACTGTGTTATCACACCACTAAGGGAATGAGCAGAGACCCACCTCTGTGTGTGTGCGAGTGTGTGTGTGTGTGTGTGTGTGCGCGCCTGTGCTCATCCCAGGTGTAGTTTATCAGGTCTACATTCCTCCAGGGAGATTGAAAGGTCTCAGTCCTCATTCAGGATTAGACTGGCAATGGAAACACACACACACACACACACACACACACACACACACACACACATAGAGTCACACACAGAGTAATGAAGAGTTCCCATTCGCTGCCTCTCCAATCAACCAGGAAATGAATTAATCTCACAATTAAAGCATCTGCTAATTCCACTCTGCTTTCATAATGCAAAGAGCCAATCTTTTAATTGTCCTAATTAGAGTAATTAACAAAAAAAAAAAGGACTCACTTATCTTCAGGAGTGAAGTTGGCCCCGTTGAGAGTCCTGTATGTGCCACTTAATAAAAAGTACATTTAAAAGTTTCCAACTTAAAAGGAGAAAAAAAGTTATTGTCCTGCCTTCTCTCTTGTTCTGGATGCATCAATGTGGGACAAACCTGCGTCATTGGGGTGATGTCATTGCAGGAGTGATCCTATTGGACGAGCCGACCACTGGCCTGGACAGCATGACCGCAAATCAGATTGTGGTGCTGCTGGCAGAGCTGGCCAAGAGGAACCGCATCATCATCGTAACCATCCACCAACCGCGCTCCGAGCTCTTCAAGGTGAGCTTCCAGATAAACTTAAGAAAATAGACAAATAGACAGAGAACGTCCTCTAAATGATATTTACACATTATTTCAAGGCTATCTTAAAACAATACCCATACGGCCATATGTACACCAAAACAGCTTTTGTCCCTGCTCTCAGTACTGGTCATGAAGAGATCCCGGTATAATGGGATTTCAATGGAAGTGACGGAGGACAAAATCCACTGTCCTCCTTCTGTTAGTGAAATCAAGAGGTTATCGTCAAAAGTTACAACCTTATAAGTATGTAATTTCCTCTCTTTGTTTCTACAGACGTTTCCTTGCTACGCTGCAGTGGAGGGATAGAAACACTTTGTCTCCTGAAGCCTCATTAACTTCAGCTAAACTTTAGAAGTCTTTTTCATTTGTCCTCCATCTCTTACATTAGAATTACATTCTTTTCTCTGTCATGATGGACAGGAGAAACAAATAGAGCAATCAAAAACTATTGCAATGTACATGTGGGCATGTGATTGTTGTTTTCAGACGTGGAAAATATCTTTCCTTTAAACACAGAAAAACTCACCATTCTGTACCGAGGCAGAAGATCATGTGTTGTAGATTAGTTGATAGGCATGCTGATGACATTAAACTATTTGTGTGTGTCTCCCCCAGGTGTTTAGCAGGATAGCTATAATGAGTCGGGGGGAGCTGGTGTTCTGTGGGCAGCCAGAGGAGATGGTGGACTTCTTCAGTCAATGTGGATATGAGTGTCCAGATTACTGCAACCCCTTTGACATCTATGGTACTGCATGCTATGATCCAGCTATGACAAATAAAGAATATGTTCATCTCGACAATATACAACATATCAATGACTGTGTGTATTGAACATTGAAATACTCAAATTGCTGTGATGTCAAACAGTTGACTTCACCTCAGTGGACACGCGCAGCAGTGAGAGGGAGGCAACCACCTTCAGTCGCATGCATGGGATCACGTCATCCTATCAGAGCTCTGCCATCTACCAGAGCATGCTGGGAAAAGTGGAGCAGAGCCTGCAGCGCGCAGACAAGCCAGCCATCCCCTTTAAGAGCAAAGAGTCGCCCAGCGGTGCCGCCAAACTTGAAGTTCTGCTCAGGTCAGTGCTGAGCGAGTCTTCAGTCCCCTTGTCATCTATAAAGGCATCATCTGTATCATGCATCTGTCCTGTTGGCTCTCTATGTGTTTACCTGTACTTCCATGTGTGTTCTGTGTGCAGGCGGACGGTAAGAAACCTGTCCCGAGACAGGATGGGTGTTCTGATGCGTTTGTCGCAGAACCTGATCTACGGTCTCTTCGTGGCCTTCTTCGTGGTGCATTTAGACAACGACGTCAACAAGGGTGCTGTGCAGGACCGCATCGGCATCATCTATCAGAGCATCGGGGCTTCGCCCTACACTGGCATGCTGAATGCAGTAGCTCTCTGTGAGTTTCACACCATACATCTGCACATAGAGCGGAAAAACACATTTCATGTTTTGGTGGAATGTCCAGGGCCTTTAAACTGCAAGTGTCGCTGAACAAATACCTACATGAGATGGATACGATGACTTTGGGGAAATTCTGAAGTGGATGTGTGTGTGTGGTCTATCATAAGTTAAACAGCGTGTTTGAAACATCTTTATCTCAGCCGTGTAAGCTCGCTTATCTCTCGTTCAGTAGGTGAAAGGATTCCGCTGCCTGCAGTATTTTTGTTCCCTTCAGCAGAAACGTGTGAAGTCTAGCTTAGATGTTGCTCTGTGGAAGCGCCCAAAGAGACTTCAGTGTCTCATAGGTCAGAGTAAAAGATTAAGTGATGAGTTGTAAGTATAGTACTAGTATTATAGATTAAAACTGCAGCTGGTCATCCTCACAAAGTAGTTGCAGTTTACCTACAGGGGCAGAATGAACTTTACTCCATTTAGAGATCACTGAACCCAAGTGCCTTTTAGACCGACACACACATACTGTCTATATTATCTGTGTCTATCTGCGTCTCTCTGTGTTCACGTTTAGTATTTATAACAGCTGCTGTGACTTAAGGTAACCTCAAATACAGATAAACGTTTACACATTTACTGTATAGACACACACAGAAACAACTACAACTACAGGTCAGGGCCTATTTTAGGACCGGTATGATGGTAGGGTTTCACAAACTTTATTTATTTGATCTGATCTTGTGATATGTATTGTTGGTAACTTAATATTTGGACACACTTATTTTTTAAATAGTTAAATTAAGGTTAAAGAGGGCTAAATGGATCTTTAAAGGTGTTGCTTTTGTAGAATCTGTCTGAACATTAATTATATAAATTGAGTTACAAACACTAACCAGTGAAGGATATTGGCTATATGTGAGGATTATCTCTTCTCCGTCTTCTTCAGCTGTCAGCTGAGTGTAAAATCTTAGCTTTAGGGCTCTGGCTGTCACAGATACTGAGGATAAGAGATGTGATAAAACACCGGGCTGAGCAGACGTCAAACCAGAGTTAAAAGGTGATTAAAAGCACTCCACAAGCACCCAAACAGCCAGAGGTGGTGTTTGGGAATGGCATACTGACCTTGAATCTTTTAGATAAAGACTGATAGGAACGGGTTTACTGAGCCCTCTGAATAAAGCCAAGAACATCTGCGAGTCTGGAACATGGACTGATGGCAAACGGCCAGCTTTGAGTTTTACTCGGCCAAGACATCAAGACCAGTAACCTGGCTTGTTGGAGCAGGCCTGCCTTCGGTCTTCATGGGATGTTAAGGCATGTACTTTTAGTTAAGATTTCACAATATGAACACTATTATCTACTAAGTTTGAGTGTCTTCGGTATTAAATACTAATCCTGAATGGGACAATGAAAAAAGTACAGGCAGGCTTTCAGTATGTAATGTTTCTCCTCTTTTCCACTCATCACATTATCTGCTCTCTCTCTCTCTGTCTCGCTCTCTCTGCTCATCTCCAACAGTCCCGGCGTTGCGAGCTATCAGTGATCAGGAGAGTCAGGATGGTCTGTACAGTAAATGGCAAATGTTCTTAGCCTACATCTTCCACATCCTGCCCTTCAGCATCCTGAGTGTCTTCATCTTCACCTCCTTCCTTTACTGGTGTGTAGTGTGTATTTGTTTGCTATGGGGCATCTTAAAGCATGTGCATACACAAGGATTTAATAGATCTCATATTCTATACGTCCACCTGGTAAAAAGCACCGCAGGTTCTTCTTTATAAGCCTCTACCAAACTGTTGACAAGTTGCTTCATGTCTGGAGTGTTTTTGTTACAGCAAATTTTTTAGCCTAAATCAGGAGGTAGAAATGACTCAATCAGATTGAGTTGAATTGAACACATTCTTCAATACGATATAGTGACTCATAACGTGCTCCACCAAGCAGTTGAGCAGAACATTAAAGAGTTTTAAACTTAGCCTTAACAGCACTAACTTCTATAAATGATCCTCTCAGGACGGTGGGGATGCACCCTGACAGCTTGCGCTTCCTGTGTTATTCTGCTGTTGTCCTGGTGCCACATATTATAGGTGAGACAAGATTACTTGACAGTCATCGTCTATTTCTTCACAGGATTATAGGGACATGCTAGTGTGCTTATCTCCATGTTTCATATCCTTTACCAGTTTGCTGTCAACACTGACAGGAATAGACTATCAGTGTTTTAGAAACACAAGTGTACAAATGTGTTTGACTTAAATAAAGATCCTTTTAATGTCATGTTTTCACTGTTAATGGCTTTAAGTTGCATGTATTAGTATATCTGTTGCTTTTCCTCAGGTGAGTTGTTAACTGTGGTGCTATTGGGAGTGGTCCACGACCCGAACATGGTCAACACTGGAGTGGCTCTGCTCAACATTGCAGGAATCTTAGTGGGATCTGGCTTCCTCAGGTGAGACACCTCAATATGTTTGAAATTTAATTAATACGTTTAAGTAACTTTAAGCGAAGCCTGTTGTGATTTGGACCTCTAATAGGCAATAAGCTCTTCAATGTGAATGAAGGTAAAAAGCCGCCAGTAACGCACCTTCCTCCTCCTCTCAACAGGAGCACCCAGCAGATGCCGATGGTCTTCCAGTGGCTCAGCTACCTGACCTTCCAGAAGTACAGCTGTGAGCTGCTCATAGTCACAGAGTTCCACGGACTCAACTTCACATGCAGTAAGTTGTTTTTACCGTGATGGGACCATCTGATTCCACCGACCCTGAGAATGAAAAGGGACCCATAATGTATAAATCAATGAAAACGTAACATGTTATATTCACAGCTCACAAACAAAGTATACCAGCTTGAGTAGAACTTTAAAACAACAACATGTAAACACAATTTTTTGCAAGTGATTTATATTACTCGACCTTGACATCACTGGGAATATATTTTGCAATCTAGTTAAGGAAATGTGATTGACAGCTATCGTCTTTAATCTCTTCTTCTGTCAATGCTTTTACAAGTATTGTATGTCATGAATCAGTGTTCAAGGACACATGGCAAGACAGATTGAAGGACGCTCACTGGCTGTTTTGGGGAACTGAAGCCGTGTTTTAAACCAGACAAATTGTTAATATCTTCCCTCCGGTGTGTTGTGTTGTTGCAGATGTTTCCAAACCTTTGCCGGGAGCCTGTATGATCACTCAAGGCAGTCAGATCATTGATGAGGGTTATCCTGGCGCTCTGTCTCGATACACACTAGACTTTGTCCTCCTCTACTCCTTCCTCCCTGCTCTCCTACTGCTGGGCGTCATCAGCTTCAAGATCAGAGACAAGCTTGTACGTCACTAAAACCACAGACAGACATTCGTGTGTGTCTGTGTGGGGGGAGGGGTCTTTTGTTTAAAAACAGCAAGATGAACTGAGTTTGGTTGAGAAGATCTAAAACAGATTTACAGCATTATGTTAGTCTGAGAAGAGGAATACTGAAGTACTGTGGCTCCTGCTAGCATGTATCATCTGTGGCTGCACCCTCCACCAACATTCAAGGGAAATCTCCAGGTCAGCACTTTAACAGAATGAAGTATTATAAAGTTCAGAGCAATGATGAATACAGAGAGCTTCTATTAGACGTTTCCTCAAACAATACCAGTGCAGGATGCAAAGTGTACAGTACAGCATCCACGGACATTATACCACTTGACGTCCTTGTACTAAAAAGCACCAAATAACACTGAATGGGCTCAAATAACATCTGAGACGGGCCGCACAGATTAAAAATAAGGTCCTGTAAATATCTGCACTGATGTCAAGTTAATTATTTTCATATAAATGTATATATGAAGTGGAACGTTTAAACTTAAGTGTAAACTATAAATCACCAGTTTGATTCAAATGATGGACCGCTGTGTATCATCACAAAAATGTCACTTTTGTATTTTCTTTTCTTTTTTAAATATTGTGATTGTAATGTTTCAGGAATAGGAAGTGATGCTTATTGTAATATTGTAAAATTGTTTATTTTTTTCAGAAAACATTTCATCATCATTATACAAGTAGTTTTGTTATGTTTAAAATAGACACAATGACACAAAAGGAAATAAATAAAGCAAATTGTAAACTCTATTTACATTGATACAATATGTGGTGTGTGTGTGTGTGTGTGTGTGTGAGACCATAAAGCTGGCTCTCTCTCATGTCTCCAGCTCCAGTCCTTTCCAGGACTTAGCTGCATTCCTTTTATACTGCTCCAACTCCTGAAAAACACAAAGAGAGATGAAAAAACATGACACCATTTCTTCATCATTGAAGTAGAATGCACACGCTATAATGCAGAAATGCCTGCAAACTCATAATAGTAAACGAGGTTTGTTCTCCATGAATGCAGTAATGACTTCAAGTCATATTTGTACTTTTTAAAATGTAACAAAGGAATATGTAGTTGCTTCTGTTCTTCTGAGTTATTTTTTGACACAGCCATACTTGTGCAATATAGAAAGGTAGATAAATTCCTGCCAATGTGCCAAGATATGCAGCAAAAAAAGGTGCTTTCTCATAAACATGGATGTAAACAACGCAGGATGCAAAGAAAAATCAGCTTTGAGAATGTTTTACTCAGGAAGGAAATGTATTCACAGTGTTTGTTAGACCTCGATGATACACACAATGCGCTGTGAATATTTCTGTCATCCAGAAGGACAGAAGACTGTTTGAGGATGTAAATGTAATGATGACACATAAGAGGCACAAGCTGGGTCTAGAAGTACACAACCTCAGGCAGGTGGGTGCCCTGACATGCAACTGGGTCTTCTAACTTTTCCTCTATACATGTTCGACCAGCATCAGGTGAGTCAGTCAGCGATAACAGCGTTGTGAGGTTACTAAAGTTCAAGTGCCAGAGTGGCACTACGACAGAACACCACTGATGTCTGAGTTTATAACCTGGACATATTACAGCCTGTTAACGAGACAGAAACACGGCTGCAGACTGCTGACAGACACAAGGTTACTCTAGAGCGTTGAACTTGATTAAGACAGTGTTCAGACAGTGTTTAACAGCAGATCTACCTGTCTCTCTGATAAAGTCTGAATTATTATTTAATTCAGCTTAACTTGGGCAGTGGAAGGCAACAGTTGATCCATTTGTGTTTTTTATGAGACCTCAATTCATCAAAATAAGGTACTCAACAGAAAATGTAATAGCACTCTGAAATGTCACCCTGTCTGAACTCCCATTAAATCTAATCGTCGACACTACTCCTCTTCATTATCTTCCTCAATACTTATTCCTCTTCACAGTGAGGTCAAAGGTCAGGGTCACAAAGCGCAGATAAGTGAACGTTCTGGTTAACACTGACTGATCATCAAACTGCAGACTCATGGGGGGTCATGACACTGATTGCAGTAGTTTATGATGTGCTTTGCTATAGCATACGTGTGTGTAGTATACGTGTGCAGCTGTAATACAACACAAGCATGTGTTTGGTCAAGATGTGCTACCTGGTCTTTCTGGGCTCTCATGGCATCAATCTGAGGCTCACTGTACTGTGGGTCTTTGGCTGGATCCTTTACTTCCCTCTGCTCACTGGTATTCTGCTCAGACAAAGTCAGTTAGATGAGCAGAGAGATATTATAAATGGACAGTCGACAAAGGTCCTTATTCATGTAAACATGCATATTTATGAGAAGGAATGCTGTGAATATGATTGTCCAGTGTGAGGGTGTTTAAAGATCTAGTGTGTAGGATCTGGCGACATCTAGTGGTGAGGTTGCAGATTGCACCCAATTGAAACCTCCCGTTTGGGAGAACTAAACCAAAAACACGAAAACAATAAAACACAAAAATGCAAATGGCCCCATCTAGAGCAAGTGTTTGGTTTGTCCGTTGTAGGCTACCGTAGAAACATGGCGGTTAAGGTAACGAAAACACAGCCATTCTTATTTTCAGGTGACTATCCACTACGTAAAACATGCTTAGTAATATTATTCTGCCAATAGATCCCCCTAAATACCACACTGTACCTTTAAACATCAGAGGCTGAATCAGCTGCACTTTGTGTTACTAATTAAGACAAAGGTGAATGAACTACCTCTTGGGGGAAGACACGTTCGTAGACTTTCTTCCAGAGGTCCTTTGGGTTTTTGGCATGCAGAGACGTGATGTCCACATCAGTAGAGTGAGGGGAACCTAAAGCAATACCAGCATTATGTTCAGCAATCCACAAATATCAAGGCAGAAGGTGCAATAGCATTTTAATTACATCTATATGCACTACTGCTTTCGGCCACCGAGTGATGCTGTACTCACCTATTTGGTTGAAGGAGTCGGAGCCTGCTGCAATGAGGAGAGGCTTAGTGGAGTCAAGGTACACAGTTTTCCTGATCAAAGAATAGAAAATACAACTAAAACCAAAGCATAACATGTCAGTAATGGTTGGTGTACAATCAGTATCCTCCTCACCCTCTGTCCAGACCGAAAGCCAGGTGGGAGAAGAAGCTCTTGGTTTTTGACATTAAGTTCTCCGACTTGATGCTTGTGAACTGATGATAAGATGAGACACAGGAACAGAGAAAAACGATGGAATAAAAGATAATTGGAGCAGCAACAGTTGATAGAATGGGTGACTTTAATGGTGAGACGAAGCAAAAAAAGATTACAAAGTGCAAATTGCAGTATGTTTTCATCAAAAGTTATGTTAAATGTAAATATGTTACATGTATGGTCAAAGCACACTTACAATAAGAGAAGCCGCGTAGTAGTGGGCAACAAAACGCAGTGTTTTACAAACCACTTTCCTCTTGTCCGAGTCAAATTCCTGCAACACATATGGAAAAATAAAGCTCTCCATCTATAATATGTTACATAAATCATACCAGGATCTAAGAAGTTACAACAATGTAGCTGTGACTATAACACATCACCTTTTAACAACTTCTCTGCCTAAAAAACGTTTAAGTTCTACCAATAACAAGTCAACAAATATCATAAAATGTATGTCATTCAGCCACCAGGAGGCCACCTCAATAAATAACACTTAAATTGAAGTATGAGATTTACCTGAAAGATGTCATATTTGCTGCCAATAATCAGCAGAGGAACAGGAAAGGGACTGATCAGCTCTCTGTCCTGTTGACAAAGTCACAGTGAACACAGGACACATGTACCATCTTATGTCTGCACTGTATCAAAAGAATGAATCGACTGAGTGTAATGAGCTGAGGTCTTACAGGATAATCTTTAGGTAACACACGTGCTGCTGAATAAGCAGGCGCCTGGTGTTTGGCTTTCTGTGCTTGTTGTGTCTGGGAAGAGACTTTCTCCAACTGATGTTGTGCTGCCTGCAGCAGCCTTTCCATGGTTCCCCACAGGGCGTTGGGTTTAGACAGGTCCAGAATGAGGATGACAGAGAGAGACCTGGGAAAAGACAGGAAGGACCATGTGATCTGGCAGGATATATATAAAAAAAGGAGACAACAAGACCTCGGGAATAGTGACCAACCTGATGCCGACGGCAGTGATGGGGATCTGAACCAGGTCTGACAAAGAGGTCCCTCCTCCCAGTTCCCATAGGTGGGCTATGTCTTTGGGCTGAAAGGCGAAACCAAGTTCAAGTTACACAGTATGTGCAATTGTACACACATTCGCATTTACTGCAAAAATAAGGTATTTACTGGAGTAATAGAAAACCAGTAGGTTTGGTCACAAATGATCAGGACTATCAGTTTTTATCCCATTTTTCCCCCAAAGTGTCCAATACTAACAGGGCTTCCTTACTATGTTGTGTCCTCGAGCCCGTCTGCCAAAAGTGTACTCCAGTGCCAGAGTTGGTTTGGATGGTTCATCCCTGGTGGATTAAAAAAACAGTATTATTCAAACAACAAAGCAAAAGCTTGAAGATCAATTTACTCACTTTCAGTGCTTGAAACCTAATCTTGCTGTGTTTTGTTTATCAAATGTAGCTGGCACAGGTGTCATTGTTGTGCCATGTGATCGGCTCTGTTAAAGAAGACCGTGAGATGAAGCTAAAAGCTTTTATATGATCAAAGCATTATTGTTCATAACTGGCATGTGTCTTAAACATTAGTCTGCATACAGAATATAAAGAGGGTTATTGTGAGGCTAGAGATGCTAATTTTAAGATAGACCTCACACACACTCACCTGTCGAGGCATCTGAGGAGAATGGACGTTTTACCCTGAAACAAAAAGAAAAGGTGGGCGTAGCGTTACTAGCTAACGTACAGCGTACAAGACAAGGGTGCTTCCATTAGAAGTAAATAAATGATATAAATCGGGTCTATGTTGTAAACATACCCCAGACTTGCTCCCCATGAGAAACACGGTCCTCTCGCTGACCGTCTCTCCTCCATCCTCTTCCCCACCTTCCGCCTCTCGGCTGTGGACCTCCGCCGCAGCCTGCTCCCATAGTGTGTCTGAGCTGACAAACACAACACAAAAAGCGACACAAAGCATGTTATTATCTCTATGATAATGTTACAAATAAGAAAACTGGCGTACAAACGGATCCTCACCTTATTTTTGGCATCACATTTGACTTGTAAACAAGTTTGACAACTTGACAAGCTAACAAACAGCTAACTTAGCTACCACCGAGGGAAACCCAACCAAACGTTACCAGAGTAACGGCGCAGTTTGATGACGTAATAATGGTTACTCCTTAATGAGCGTCGCGAAATGTAGTTCTATTCTTTAGAAAGGCAAAGATCGGAAGAAAGTAAGACTTTTATGCTGCATAGATTTGTATAGCTATAATTAAATAAGTTAAGCTATTATCGTTCACGTTTATCAACATCATGCATATAACATAATATATTTTTTGGTTGTTTTTCATGCTCGCAAATTCTGTTATAAAATACCAACTGTATACCCTACTGTATAACGTATAACACCATGCATTTCCTGAGGGGTTGTTGAGGTCTTCGCCCTGAGCGATCATTTCTAGCGAGTCGAACAATAAGTTAAACCGGAGATAGTCTGGGAACACTCCCCTTTAATCAGAACACAATAAAACATTTCAGTAGCAGAAAAGTAACATTTCCCCACTAGTTCAGTTGAATCACAAGCTCAAAACAGGCTGAAAACTCCCAAATTACATGAAAACACATTTCAAATACATTTGACAAAATGCTGTACATGAAATTACAACATCCAGTTTATAGCAGAGATCTTCAGTGAATCAAAACAAGGTATTTCTTCATGCAGCGATGATTTTTTAAAATGTTCTTTGTTCATGAGATCCTGAACAAGTTGAAATGTTGTTTTGGGTTGAATCCTTTAAAATGCAGACGTATGGTATGAGATGATAGCGAGTCTCTTTTTTGATGAAAAAGATGCGATGAGATGTTCTGTCATGACTTTCTCCTGGGCTGGTCACAATAGGGTACATTTTCTAGTAGAAGACTCTCTCTAGGTCGAAGCACTGAGACGGAGAAAGAGAGAAAATAAATAGCAGACATAACATTTGGACATATCATTAGAATGTGATAATTCAGAGAGAATCAAGATTCCTGTTGCATATTCTTTGCATACACATTAAACTTTCTAGCGTGGTACTAATGTTCTTTAAAAAAACATAACAACATACAGAGTGTCTTATCTCCAACATGTTCCATTTGTAGCACACCCTCTCGAAGAACAGCTTCCACATCTGAGCCCATTTTGATCATCTGTAATAGCAGAAGGGTAAAGAGTGTGGGGAGATTATGAGACAGTGGGCCCCTCTTCATACATAGCGGCCCCTCTTTTGTTTTGCATCTTTTGCAGGTTAAACATAAATATAAAGTACTGCTGAGCTTGAAAACTGCACATGAACATGCCAGAGATGCTTTTGAAATCCTTTGCAGTGCTGCCACAGCAGATCTACACTGACACTCTTCACCACAAATATTACACAAAATACTATAGGAATTCATAGTTATCGTAATTATCTTGCATGCAACATAACAGAGTCTTGTCATTCCAAAGATGAGTGTAACTGTTTTGTTGAATCTGTTTGTTTTACTGTATGCTTACCACAGCCCTGAATGTATAGCTGAATTATTCAATAAAAATATAATTAAAAAACACATTAAATTGGACTGATTATCTGCAGCTACTCAATATGAAATGTTTTAGATCAGGATTAGGAGTGAATCGTCTACTGTCCATGACTCCAGCCAATAGATGACATTACAGTGGAATATGCACATATTTACTTCAATTCATAACTGATTAAGCCTGATTAAATTACAATATACATAAACACACTATGTCATTTTCTGATGCACTTTCAATGTACCTTCACAATGTTTTCTTCTGACGTTTCATCTTTGTTTTTCCGGAACTCATCGTTGATCTTTAATCTTGCAGCTTTGTGGAGAGAAAAAATAGAAATGCATTTGATACTGGAGAGCATGCACCAAAGTCATCTACTGTTTGTAAAGGGTTTGGTAAACATCACCCAACACACGATGTTCTTCTGCAGGGAATCAAACCAACACACCACATAACTCACCTGACAGCGCTCTGGCATCGTCTTTGAATACAGTTCTCCTTGTTCGGTGCAGCGCTTTAAACGCGTTTAAGACCTGCAATCATACAGACATTCAGCTTTTAGCAACATCAGGACCTTGACAGTTGTTCTTGAACACACGCAGTTGTGGATATTAATAACAGTTCCCTGCAGTTTTAGCGATCTGCCTCCTAAAACATGCAGTCACGTATTCTTATAATCAAACCAGCAAAAGAAACTAAGAGGAAACATTGTTTTACTGATGTTATTTTTCATAAAGCATGATCATATCCCGTCCTCACCTTCAAACGAGTCCCCATCTTGACTTCTTTAGTTCACTTCCGGGTTGGAACTAACATCGTCCAATCAACACAGAGTTCTGAAATGACGCGTTTTTTGTAGCCAATGAGCGTTCGCTATAGTTTCACGAAGACAAGAGCAGCACTGACAGGCGGCTCATCTACGCAAACATGGCTGATGAAATGGCAAAGGCGCAGGCTGCCCAGCCGGGCGGAGACACACTATTTGCAAAGATTATACGCAAAGAGATCCCCGTAGAACTGATCTATGAAGATGACAAGGTATGCGCGAAACGCGTCCGCTCATAAACACACTTTTTGGCCGCAATAAGTCGCACTGCTCCTTGCAGGTACACGGTCAGCTAACGTTAGCTCAGCGCTAGCTTTGCAGAAACTGCTACTTTACTGTAATTTACACAATGTGTTATATGTAACTACGGTTGTTTATCACAGAATAAAACCAAACCAAAACCAGTTGTGTAAACACAGTTTACTCTCAGACTACACAGGCTAAACGAATCCTATCCATGGCTTAGTTTTGGTTCAGCATTTTACAAGTGAAGTAATTGCTCATGTTGCGTTTGCTGCCACTTGGCATCTGCAGATAGTTGGCTCTGCCTGCTGCTCCAGCAGATCCTTTACATGATATAGTCCCTACAGACTGTTGGCATGCATGTACCACGTGTCTTTCTCACTTTTACCCATCATGCTGGCTGTCATAGTCTTGGTGTCGAGCTACAGAAATTGTTGTCTTTTATTTATTCTTATTATATATCGTTTTAAGGGCCGAGAGAGCTGGGATAGATGCATTTCATTGCATTTAAATGAACAATTGCACTTTGACCATAAACTAGATCTTAAAGTATACTTTAAATGAGGTGGACAACATATCAGCAAGATCTTTGAAAAGAATACAGTCCAATAAAACATCGTAACAAAATGCAACAGCAAACCATATTCAGCCACCACAGAAACAACTAAAGAGGAAGTCACAATACAATTTGATGTAGCATTTATTGCACTATATACTTCTTAATTTGTTTTATTTATATTTCAGTGTGTGGCCTTCCCCGATATTACTCCTCAAGCTCCCACTCACATCCTCGTCGTCTCAAAAAAGCCAATTGTTCAGCTGTCAAAAGCGGAGGATAGTGACACTGAGGTAAGTGTGATGTGTGTGATCTAGTTTTTCTAAAATAATTTCTCCCCACTTCCAGTGATTTGTCCAACAACAGTGACCACTAGATGGAACCCTTTACACAATGCAACGCTGTCTGTGAACACTACATTGTTAACCAGGGGTTGTCTGCTCATTCTTATAAACACAAGTATGTATTTACACTTCAGTGTCACTCTTTCATTCTACGTCTATCTCTTAGCTGTTGGGCCACATGATGCTAGTTGGAAAGAAGTGTGCTGCAGATGCGGGACTGTCCAAAGGCTACAGGATTGTCCTCAACGATGGCCCGGACGGAGGCCAGTCTGTCTACCACATCCACATCCACGTCCTGGGTGGACGCGTGATGAAGTGGCCCCCCGGTTAACCTCCTGTCTCCATCCATCCTGTCATCAGTGTTGACGTCTGATAATGTGTACTGATTAACTTACACTAAACCAGTTTGTCATGGGAAATAAGAGTCAAACAAAAACAGAAAATTCAGCAATGACAATAAAATGCACCTCACAACAACAGAGTCTTGTTTGTCTTTATCTAAAATTCCTCAAACTAGGCTTTTTTAAGATATGAAGAAAACTTCAAATGTGTGGCATATTTTTATTATGTTTATATTGGATTTCAAGTACCGCTGCTCACGTTCCCACTGTCTCTTTTGCAAGCGTATCAGTGAAAGAAAGAATTGGCCTGCTGCTACTGTTGCGATGAGAAATCGAATCACTGCGGTTGAAGACAGAAATGGAGGGTCTGTGAACAGTATGTTGTGCGCAGTGAAAGAACTGCTGCTGTAGGTCTCACATTATAGTTTTCCATTAGTGAGATACACTTTGTCATCCGTTACTGCTACCCAAGGTGCCATGCAGTCACTCGCCTTAGTAAATAAAGATTGATTCTTTGTATTAAGCACAGCACTTAGCTGACTCTATAGTTTCAATATGCTCATTGGTGCTTAAATATGTAATACCACATCAATAGTCTCCGTGTCCAGTCTATGGTTGTCATTTGTGTGAAAAGACTCAAACACTTAATCATGCAAATGTTTAACAGAGTTCAGGCATCACAAAAGGGTAGCTGAGTCATTTGCATTTTCAGTTGAGACCTGATTAATAGCACAGAGATTAGACAGCTCTTTTATTCAGTAAGAATTATTAAAATTCAATCTGAATGAACTCTTTGCCTTTTCTTTGATTAAAAAGTCCCTGTTGGGAGTTGTTATTGTGGGAGAAAAAATGCAATCCAGTTTTTGAATCAATAGATATCGGTTCCTTGTCAGTCAGTGGTGTTGACATCGGCTGCTTGTGTATAAAGACAGACTCTTTTTTAAACAGAATACCAGAGGAATTATAATATAAAAACAGTGTTAATGCCCAGTCAAATAAAAATAGAGAAACAAGTGAATGGCTTTGTTTTATTAACAGTAAGAAACAATGTAGATAGTTGAACAAATATAAAATGCATGAAACATCCACAAAATATTAAACAAAAAATAAATAAAATAGCTTTTTCTTTACAAAAATGACAAAAGAACACTGATCAGATGACACATGTAGTAACTTAAAAATAAACATGTACCTAGCATTCACAGTCCCCTCATTTCATTTCTTTTGATAAAACAGGGGGAGGAAAAGCAAAAAAAGGACGATTAGAGGCTTCGTTTGTACAGACAGAATAGTTCCAGAGAGGCAAGGCCATCATTGCTGATATGCTCTGTCAAACCATTTGACATTAGATGCAGCCTTTCACTGCTTCTTCACTACGTCTGAATGAAAAACACCACAATCTGATGTGCAAAATAAGAGAAATCTTTTAAGACAACTATGTCTTTTCTTTCAATCGATGCCCGTCCATAGACAAAATGGGCACTTTGAGGCAATTGAAAAACATTGTACAGTACAGTATAGCGAGAATGAAATGAACATGTATTCTGGTACCTAAATTCACTAGCATCTAAGTACTAATATACTGCCTTTAAAGTCGTCTTACTCTAGAACACAGACTATAAGCTGAAGAGAGGTTCAGAAAGTGGTGAGTCCCCGTGAAGTAAATGAGAAATAGGTTAACTATACGGTCTCTGCAGTACTACAGCATCAGTACGCTCGAACGTCTCTCCTTGGGGGAAATAGAAGAATGCACCTAGATACACCGATATGAAGTCGCATATTTTCAAAGATGTGTACATGTCTACTTACTGACGCTCCTCAAAGACGTATTTTGAACCACAACAAAGCCTCCTTGTAGGTCGCCCGCGCTCCTTTCAATGAGACGTTAATTAAAACCAATTCCAGCAGCTTTTGCATGTTCAGGTTTTGTGTGTACTTAAACTGGTGACCAAGAAATGAAATGTAGTGTGAGGCGATTCAAAGCATCAACAAGTAAGTCTACAATATCTACAATACCAGTATCTAAATATTAAAAAATATTTAGTTCAAAGATTTTCTTCGCTCATTGTTTTAAAAAAAAAAAGTCACATCGGCCGTGACTGGAAACAGGATTAAAAAGCCAATTGGAAATCATAGGACACTTGAGTGGATGCACTGTAGCAGATAGCTCAGGGCACATGTCACATGGATCAAAAACAATATGGCAGCAATGATTAAGCTAGCGTTTCATTATAATAAATGAAAAATGGTCTTGACATTCGGAGAAGACGGGCGGGCTGCAGAGGGTGAGGCATCGAAGATGTACTGCCACATTTTGAAATAAAGATTCCCAGGCTTTTGCACAACAGATGAATTTTCAAAATGGCTCAACTGTTTAACAATGGCAATACCAACAAACTTGTTAACTTTGGTAAGTGAATATTTTGTCTCAACATTGGTTTCCCAAAGGCTGTTAACTATTGTTTAAAACTACCATTCAGTATTAGTAAGATCAACACAGACACCAACTTGCAGGAAGAAAGCTCTCAGCTCCGTCCTGGACATGCTACTGGAGTGAAACACTTTTCCAAACTACTGGGGAGAGACAGGAAGGGAGGCAGAGAGTAAAACATAATGGGTAACAGAGAAATAGGCGAGCACAGAGATGGGGAGGCACTACAAATCCTTTTCAACAGAGTCAGTTTCAGAGAAGCAACAATGGACGGTTAGAGTTATGAAAAACAGCTGAAATTCTGCTTGATTTATGAACCGTTTTAGGCATTAATCATGTCTGTATGACTGCGTGGTTTGTCAGAGTGGTTACTTAAGGCTGCTGAAATACTCTTTGTACTCAACAAGAGCTAATAAATCACTGGAGTGTCCTGTGTTTCATCATAGTGTAAATAGAACATATTTTCCAAGTGTTATTTTACAATGCATTCTGTTTGTCTGAAAGTACGGTATTAAAGTCTTAAAAGCTGTTCTGTATATTATTTGAGGGGGTGAGGTCTGCTACTATCGAGGATGTGTTTTAAGGCATGTCCTTAGTGTAGGTTAGGGTCCAGACACATGGAGAAGGCAAGAGGAGGAGACTAGAGAAGAGTGGAGACTGTACAACCACAGAGATCTGTCCACCGAGAGAGCAGCCCGGACGCCTTCTGTCCATCAGGAAGTCAGGTTTAAGTTGAAAAACTCATAACATGACTCTATCCAAATCATTCAAGGGTGAATTTACGTTGAGGGTATATTCACGATGCATCAGTTGGGGGTTTGGGTCAGTTGAAGCACTTCATAACCGACCAGATCTGGTAACACTTCAGCTAAATTGTGTTTATATTATACCCATAATCCTAGACTGGTTCGTTGTTGCGAACACTGATCACCAGCCACCTGCACTCCAATCCAGACTCCTGTTCATTCACTTAACATTGAGTTCAGGGAAACTTTCTGTTCACTTCTGCGCGATGGCCTCCTCTCCGCTCGGCCATATGCGGTTGAAGGGCAGTCCTCCGACTCCTGTTAACCCCAGACTCACGCCGGGGTCTCGTGCAGTCTCTTCTGTGCTGGCAGAGGAAGCTTGAACCCTGGCGGAGGCTGCTGATCCTGCAGGTCCGGGAAGGATCGCCGGCAGGGATTCTTTGGCTAAGGGAGCAGACATTGGGCTGGTGGCAGAAGTGGAGGTTGTTTTGGCGGTTTGGGGCTTTGTAGGGGTGGTGGGGCTGGTCAGGCCGAGGCTGGCCAGGGCGTCCAGAGTCCCATCTGGGTCCACCATTACATTGATCACTGGGACAGAAACAGGGAGAGAGTCAATGTGTGGACGGCTACGTCTAAAACTCAATGTATACATACAATCACAGCTAAAATAAACTTGGGATTGTTGTTCTTTGTTTGTGTTAAAAGCCCTGAAATCCTATTTTATTAAGTGGTTTCTTAATGATTTTTCTTAATGAACTCATGATAAGAAATAATTTATTATGTTTTATTTGAACTTGATTATTTGCACATGTAGTCATGCATATTTAACATTGTAGAGAAATACTTGTACAGAGACCTTCTCTACTTTCGCTGCTTTCTCTCATTCAGGGTTCATACACATTTTGACCAATGGATTTCCAGAACTTTTCCATGACTTTAAACCAAATTTCCATGACCAAACATTTTGTGAAATCTCAGTGTATACATGAAAAAGTGAGAAAATGTAATATTTAAAGTAACAATGAGAATTCCAAAGCATACAGTATACCTTAAATGACACAAACGAATGAGAGACAATAGTTTGATTAAAAGAATAAACATTTATAAATATACTCTGGTTGACAGGCATTCATAACACTGACACATCAATAAGAGCTTTAGTAGGTAGTAGCATCCAGCTAGTGCACATATTGCTTTCCCTTTTGTAGTGCAATTTTTTCATTGAACCCTGTTACTATAGGGCTTAATATTAACTTCCACTGTTACTGTACAGCTGTTAGAATTGTGGCCTATCTTCTATTTGCAATTAATATGCATTCAATCCAGTTCAATTATTTAAATTAAAATGATAATCTACTCTGGCTAAGGTAACTTATCAAGAGTAAAATAATAGCTGTGATCTATACACACCTCTGCATTAGCAACCTGCTGAAATGAAGGTACAGGCACCTTCACCCTCTCATTACTTCAGGGTTATTGAGAGCAACGTGGGACTGTTAGTACACTGGCTGTGGTCATTACAGTGAACAGTGTGTAAAGTGTGATGAGAGGGCATGCGAGCCCTTGTTGCTGTAGTTTATCTCCTTGGAGCAGAGGCTGCATTTAGCATACCCTGCCTTATCAGCAGGAAGCTGTACTGCTCTACCTTCACATCTGTCCACCTTTATCCAGACCCAGCTCCACTCACAGCTCAGCCCTGCGTCAAGCTGCGCTACAGACAGCCTCCTCTTCCTGAAGCTCTTTGACCTCATCATCTCATCAGTATCTAGGCCTCATGTTTCGTGGTCATGAAAGTTATTCTGACCACGAAATCATCCTCATTCTACTTTGAGTTAAAAAAACAACCTGCAACCAGATGTGCCGGTGTTCCGGTTTAACGTTAATGAGTGACCGCGTGAACTGAACCGGAACACAGGGGGCTGCATGTTTCATCACGTTACGTTTTTTCCTTCTAAATCGCGATAATGATGAACGTTAAAAGTCGATAAAGTTCCGCATGCAGTGGACGTTAACTTAACCCAGCAAGTCTGAACGATAACGGAACATAACGTAACTTAAACTTTAACGGAGGGAAATGAAGACGCTGTAGACATCTTAACGCTGATTGGCCAAGACTCGACACGTCAAAGATGTTCTATTGCGAAGATCACGACATCACATTTTCTCCTCGTCTCACTCCAATCTGAGAAATGCTGGCTGGCAACTCAGCGTAAATGAACGACATGAAAATATGAATATAACACATTTCCATGACTTTTCCAAAACTTTTGGGATTTTATTTTTTTCAAGCACTTTTCCAGGCCTGGAAATAACCATTTTAAAATTCCATGACTTTTCCAGGTTTTCCATGACCGTACGAACCCTGCTCATTAATATTCATGCCCTCCTCTATCATGGAATGCAAATAAACAAATAAAATGATGCTGCAGCGAAAATACCCCAAAAGTGTGTTTCTAGTTCAGTACTAGTGTGATTATACTTGGGTTTACCTTGAAGCTGCTTCTCAACCCGCTTCAGTTCGAGCAGAATCGAGGAGAACTCCTGCAGAGAGGAGGAAACAACAACAACAAAAGTATTAGCTCCCAATAACACTGCACTCTTCTTGTCATCAAATGTTATTCAGACGGACCGGCTTCTGTACCTTGTTGGAGGTTTTCAGGAGTGGTATGTCAGTCTCCGATCGCAGTTTATTCTCAATTTCATCCCAGTTCCTGTCTTTATCTTTAAACAATATCCTGGAGAAAAACAACACCAGGACACATGTCACAGAGTGGCTATTCAAAGCAACACCGAGGAATCAATACATCTTAAATAGATACACAGTTATATACTCACAGACAGTTATAATATTGCAAAGTATAATTACCTGATTTTTCCTGCTGTTTTGTCGATAGAGTGTCTGATCTTGGTGGACAGCTGAGAAACTGAATTGAGCAGCAGGCTGTCCAACACTGCCTGAAAACACAGAGCGAAAGAAAAGAAGTTTGACAACCTGAAGGTAATTGCTGAAGTGTTCTTGTGAAAGCCTCCATGTTGGTATATTTGTGATGTCATGCTCTGTGCGATGCTCGCCTCCTCTCGGTTCCAGGTGCGTCTCCTCAGAGCTCGGGGCTCCAGACTGTCGGGGGCACGGGGGCGGAGCTCCACTGGCTTGCCGTTGATCTCTGGCGCCTTATTGGTCGAAATCACAGGTGGGATCTTCCTGAAGTTCAGACTCTCATCAAACACCCGATCCACCAACTGAGCAAAGACAGGGAGAGATGTAAAAGGGAGACAGACATAAAAATCTAAAACTTGAAGAGATTTCTCACAATGTTATTCAAGCTTTGTTTAATGGAGTTAATATTTGTGAGAAATGAAAGAATTAGGAACTCTGTCAAAGAGAGATAAGCAGCTCTAAAGCTTTAATTGTCCAGTTAAAAAGTCAGATTCAACCCTTTAGTGCTAAAATAAGTAAATCCTATCATGGCATTAAAAAATACAGGAATGAAAGTGGAGCAGATGGGAGATTAATAAATGAATACCTCACGGCAGATGAAAGTTGTGAAGCAAAAAAAGAGTTTTCATACAAGCAACACAGGAGGGATGGCAAAGGCGCAATGGAAGCACACGCAGTAAGGCAACGCTAGAAGAAGAAAAACGGGCACCTTTCTCATGCTCTCCTCTATGTCCGGCTGCGTGGGACGTGCAGGGCCTACCTCTTCCCGGGTGTCGATGGCCGATCCCGGGGTGGTGGCGGCGGTGCTGACGGTGGTGCTGGGTGCCGTGCCAGATGAGCTGACTGAGTCGATCTCGCCAGCCACATCGTGGATCTCACGGGCCAAGATGGCTAAGTCCTTAGCCAGGTCCTGGCTGATCCTGCGCACACAGGGGAATAACCTGTTAACCATCAGACAGATGGAGGAGTTCTTTAGAAAGCTAGAAGTAGAAGCAACCTAGAAGTTAAGCCATTAAGGGCAGCTCTTATCAAACATTACAATACAATATTAAAACATATCAAAGATTCATGCAAGACTTAATCATTTGAATCAGTTAATAGATCAGTCTTATGCATATCAGTGCAGATCAATACCTGGCTATCTCCTCGCTGTGTGCTGTCCAGTCCTTGATGTACTCCTCTTGCTCTCTCATGCGGTGTTTGATCACCCCTCCACCCGGAGCCGTCACCACGGCGGAGCCTGGGCTGCCGGCGGTGCCGAGTCTTGAGCTGCGGTGCGGGGCGAGGTGATGAGGACGCATGTGGGAGCGTCCTCCGTGCTTCGGAGTATTCCGGCTGGAGCCAAACTCTTCCTCTGAGGTGGAGCCGTACTCCGGCGGCAGACGTCTCCACCTGCTGCTACTGGACACTGTGAAGGTAATGGAAGGGCAAAACGTTTAGTCAGCATTACGGTATATTTATTCCATTACAACATTTGTTATTCATGAAGTTAATAAATTAGCTTTTGAACACGAGAGACTTTGTTACTGAGGCAGCGCCCAGATGATTCTGCTTTGATCGGCAAAATTCAAATACTGTGCAAGCACTACATCATGGAGGATCTTTTTGACTATGGACTTAAATAAATGTAGATATACCTTATTTTACAAAGATACAAAACAAGATATTTTCTGCAATATACTGCACATCCAAATTAAATATGAGGGGCTGTGAATAATAAAGATTGGTGAAGCAAAGCATTTGATTTTCTTTCTGTATCTCAGTTTGTTAAGTTGTTGTTATGTTCGATAGTTATGTTTTAGCGATGATAAAACCACACTGACAACAACAGCAGCAAAAATAAACTCTATAAGAGTTTATCTAAAAGCTCCAGGCAGCCAACAAAAAGCAAGGTACATCAAATCTCGATAGCGCCATATGTTAAGCTGCTTCAAAACGGTCACACACCAGCTGCATTAATGTAGCTGCACCATGATGAGACAACACCATGCTCTGTCTGTCTCAGGGTGAAATGGGACAAAGTGGAGGTGTCCTGAATACAAATCTCCACAAGGTGGAGCACTATTCCAAAACCATTTGCTCATGGGTTTTGAAGTTTGAGCTCCAAGAATAGAACATATGGGTCTTCATCACAGCAACACTTGATGAATATCAGGGGGGGAGATGCAGAGTTAACATGGCAACATATGCTAGAGCTGGGTCACTCCAACTTTACTCACTGAAATGTATTGTTGTGCTGTCGTAACACCACAAACTACACTTTCAAATTTACATCTGGCAAAGAATTCCAAACACATTAAGAATTTCATTGCAAATCTCAAATCTGCTGTGACCCAGGTCTGACACCAGACACACACACACACACACACACACACACACACACACACACACACACACACACACACACACACACACATCAAGGCTCTACAGTTCTGGTACAGTACCCATCAGCTCCTCCTCAGCATCCCCGCCCTCTGGTTCGGGCTGAGAGCTCTCTGGACGATGACAACCAACGCACAAGTTTGTCACAACACAGTGAAAATGTTCACAGACAAAACGTTTACACATAATGAGGTATGCAATGGTGTGTAGACTGTGTGGACTTGATTCTTACGCCACATTATTTTTTACAAAGAACCGTGCTTTTAGAAATAACTAATTTAGAACAGGAATAATCGAATAAGACATTTCTTTGCTTTTTCCCACAATTTATGAGAAAACCAGAATAAATCGGAAATGAGTTATCCAGGTGATGTGCTCACCTGTGGGAGAGCAGTATCCAGACGTAGTGGTCTTAGTCTTGGTCTCATTCAGTTTCGACACGCTGTTGGCCCTCATTCTGGGTGTCAGCCTGCTCTCTGTTGGTGTCGATGAGCGCAGGCCCAGACGCAGAGCAGTCTCGGCTGACAGACGGGGTGAAGAGGTGGAGCTCCGTGTCATAGTGCACTCTGAGTCACTGCGGGCTGAGATGGAGCCCAGGCGAGTCCTACGCGGCTGAGCCAGCATGTCCAGTCGTGACAATCCCTTTCGACCGGATGGCGGCTTGGAGGTGGAGCTGGTGGTGGACACCTCAGAAGCCACAGACACCCGGTCTGCATCAGCTAGATCTGTGTCAGAAGTATCGCCCAGCCGGGCGCGGCGGAGAAGGGAGGCTCTTGTGGGCCGCGGCTGAGGCAGTGAGGCCTGCTTGCTGATGGAGGAGGTTGTGGCTGCCTGGAGAGAGCTCCTGGTTTTGGAGGATCCGCTGGTAGAAGTTTTAGACCTGCTATCCAGTTTGGAATGCAGAAAATCATCTGAGCCACGTCCGTGTGCTGAGCGCCCCACGGGTCCAGAGTAGGTCTCCTGGTCTGAGGAGAGGATGTCAGAGATGGGGAAGGAAGAAGTCTGGTCATCATCAGTGAGATCCTGAGAAGGCTGGCGCGCTCTGGAGGAGGCAGAGGACGGCTGAACAGAGCGCCGTGCATCAGTTCGGCTAGTCCCCTCTGTAGTTCTTGTTTTAGACTTCCTATCCAAGCGATCACGGGCACTTGCGTTAGTGACGCTGGTCTTGGAAGCTGTGCTGATGTTGCTCTTCTCACGATGCATGCTGCTGAAGGAGCGTCGTTTATGTTCTCCCCCAGCTGATGCTTTCCTCTCTGTCTCCCCAGTCACATGACTAGCTGTGCTGGCCGTGTCAACATCCGACTCAGGAGAGATGGAGTCAGGCCGAGGAGGGACGCCAGTTTTACTACCTTTCTGGTCTAGTTTGTTTTCATCTCTTAGTTTGGCCTCCAGGAATGCCATGACAGCTTCAGTGTCCTTCAGGAGCGTAGCAGTATCCATGCTGCCCACGGAGTCACTACGTTCACGCCCACTGCTGCCTCTGTTGATGCGTGGGATGAGCTCTGTCGGGACATTAGCGCTGGGCTTCTCAACTGTGAAGCTTCCCTGACGTACAAGAGGCTTCCCCGACTTCTCTTCTCCTGATCCTCCTCCGTTCCTCTCCTCTGACCTCTTCCTCCGCTCCGTGCTGCCTGAGGACCGGAGAGGAGCCTTGGATGGAGAGGATGTGGAGCTTTGTTTCCGTTTACTGGTCATCTCACCGTCCCTCATGGGAGTGGGGGACTCCCCGTCTCCCTTGTTCTCTTTTTCCTGGGGTTCAGTGTCCTGTTTCTCTCCGATCTCTGACCTCAGTCCAAGAGCTTTGATGCTGGACTTAGCCCGGGGTTCATCCACAGGGAGCTGGGGGAGGGTCCTGCGCTTACGGTCGGTTAGACTGGAAGAGGATTCGCCTCTGCTGAGGGACGCACCCGACTCAACGGCATCAGTTCCTACAGAACAAAGGACAAAGAGTTAACTGAGATTCCATTTTTTTCACATGAATTGTAAGCACATTCAAGGGACTTCAAGTGCTGCTGCATAATGTACATGATTGTAAAGAAAAATATTTAGCATTAAAAAAAATAAGTTACTCCAGCGTATTCATTTGTTTATTCATTCATTCAGCTATTCATTCTCTGAGAGTCAAGTGACTATGTACCTCTTTCTTTGTGGAGGAAGGCGGCTGTTTCTGCTCCTGAGCCCTCTGGGTCGGTCCTGGTGTGATTGGCAGCTAGACTGGCCCACTGAGAGACCCAACTCGAGTCGCCAGCAAGAGCCTAAGGGGACACGAGTGGGGGGTGGGGTGACAAGAGAGTAGGACACAGGAGCGAGGAAAAACAGAAGAAAAGAGCAATTAGTGGTGATATAGAATTTATAGAAGAGAACATGTGTGAGATTAGCATGTATTTGTTCATCTGAAATGTAATGCATGATAATGGAAATTATTAGGTTTCTGAGAATGAAGGGTGTGATATAAATACAAATTCCTGTATTTGTATTTTACTCAAAAATCGAAACATGCCTGAATACGCTGCTTTTACGCCCAAGAAACCCCGCCGTCATCTGATCAAGAAAGCTTTAAGTAAAGCTGAACAGTTGCTCATCACTTTTCTTGGAAAATGTGAGAAATATAAATGACATCAAAGACTTCAATAGATAGAAAATTCTCATAAACACTCTCCCCTCCCCCTCCCGGAGGGCCGATCGTGTCTCACCATATCTTAGTATGATCTAGGTCAGTCTCCGGGAGGACTAGCCTACTCCCACGAAAAGGCTAGGGGAGTACAGCGGTCAAGCATGGGAGTGACTGTGACTCACATTGTGAAACTCAGCCATGATTCTTGGTCTCAGCCATGACTCTGTTATACTACACAGGCCTGAGAGGCATAATGAAACATTGGGAGTGAGAGCAACATCGATATTGCAGAAATGGACACTCTTGTATAGGTGAACATATAAACACAAAGGTTAAAGTTTTCTACCTCTTTCCCCGTCTCTCCGGTCTCCTTTCCTTTTCCTTCTCCTTTCAGGTCTGACAGACTAGAGGAGTCCTGGTTCTGCTGCACACCAAACACCTACAAATGATTGAAAAAGCAAGAGGGAACGAGAGCTGACAATGTGGTCAAAGATGGACATCCTGCTGAAGTATAATGCATGCAAATCTGATGGCATTATGTATCGTCATACTGTATGCCTCCGAAGCATATAAGTTCTGCAGCACACTTTGTAATGATAATTAAATACCCTCATGATACATAAACACTACGGAAATATTATCAATTAAAGCAACGATCTGCACTTGATAGTTGAGTACCATGGCAACAAACAGAAATCAGACGCACACTCAATTTACAAAAGGGGGGAGACGGAAACGAGAGCGGACGGACTGTGAGTAGTGTGCCAATTAGGTTGTCAGTTAATTACAGGAATTAGCATAACAACACTTCCAGTGACTAGAAATACACCCCACTAATTATTATCACTGCTCTCCCTAAGATAACACCTGTATACAACACTTAAAGGGACATGCGCTTCTTTAACATGTCATTTAGAAAAGTTTCAATTATGTCCATGTAATAAAGCCTTGTTGGCAACAACTTAACTTTCTAAAAATAAATCCTAACTTCCGAATCTGGTAGGTGGCAATTAAAAAGACCAGTGAACTTCAGTTTGAAACGGTTTAGCTATCTTTGCTTTTGTAAGTATTTTAATTCCTACTTTTCTTGTAATGATAGTCAAAGGAAATGTTAGCTTCACCCTGAAACTACCATTAAATCATCTCTCACTAAGAGTGCTGCTTTGCCCCTTTCACTGCCGTGCCACAGAACAGGGGCTGCGGCAAGAAACAGATTATGTTTTTTCAACCGCCCCGGAGCGTCGTTTAATAAAACAAGGCAGTGCTTGTTGAAGCAAGTCTCCACGGGCTATTAGAGAAGCATTAGGATTACCGATGGGACAGAGAGGATGGAGATGATAGCTTTGTTTTAGTGGCACCAACACAAACCAGTCTCAAAGGATTTTCTAACCCTTAAAAGTGCCAACGAAGCAGCTAATAAAGAGATGATTAACCGTGCTGTGGTCTGTTTGTGCTTGGTCAAATTCTTCTCTTTAGAGTTACTGCAGATTAGGTTTGAATTATGCTCTTGTCATTCCACTTGCTACTTTTACGATCACAGATAAGCAAAGAAGGCGCTAAGGAGGATGTTTATGTTTCCTGTTGTGATGAGAGTGATCTGAACTTTAAGACCGAACAGTAAAAAAGACATAAAAAGAGAAAACCTCCCTTGATTTGTGGCAAACTATAGCGGCTTTCAAGATGATTGTATTTAATAACCACAAGCGATGGCAAATACAAATCACACAAAAATTGCCCAGGTCCCTGCAGTTTATAGTTTATTTAAGTCTACTCAACCGTCGTCAATTATCTAAACTACATGATTACATTTATGTGACAATAGTCTTACTTGTCGTAATATGTACAACAGTAACAGATTGCAACAGAAAACAGAGCTGTGGCCACAGAGATATAGTATAATATTGCAGTATTGTGTGGTAGAATAATGTGTTCACTGTCTGGGAATGAGCTTTAAAGTGAAGTGTATTTCGTTGCAGTATTATGCAGACATGGGCAGCAAATTTCTTGTTTTATCACAAATTGGTGGTGGCGTTTATGGCATGAATTCATAATATATAGACAGAACTGATCCTACATAGAGCAGGTAGTTGCTAACATCTCTGAAGACTCCTCCTACCTTGTCTATCATGCGCCTGGCCTCCTCTTCCTCTGCATTCTGGTTCTCCAGCTCGATAGTGTAGGTCCCCTTATCGCTGTGGTCATCCCCTGCCTCCCCTCCAGCAGTTCCCGCTCCTCTCCCCACGACCGAGGTGTCCTCGCTGGGGCTGGTGGGGCTGCCTGTCGCCAGCCCGGTACTGGCCGAGCTGCGACCGATACTCTGGTCCTCTGACCTCTGCTTGAGAAGGACCCGGGCAGCCGTAGGGGCTCCTGCAGTCACTGTCGCTGATATCGGAGCCGGGACCTTACCTACAGGTAACACAATGTAGAGCAGAAATAAAGCTGTTACAAAAACATAAACATACAGAGACAAGTTGCTGTAGTAACACTTTTTGTTTCCTTTTTCATGCAAAGATAAATACTTTCACACAAAACACAACTTAACCTCATGAATCTTTAAAACTCAGAATATACATGAGACATGATGAAACAGTTTTATTACCTGAGTCTGAAGTAGCAGAGGTGGAAATGCTGAACACCTTGGGGTGAGAGGGCGGCTGAGGAAATAGTCCCTCCCCCCCAGCTCCTAGCCCATGCAGGGATGCAGTCTGGGAAAACGAATATGATCGGCGCTTGCGAGGGTTTTCCTCGTCGTAGAGCTCGATCATGAAGGAAGTGCGGCTGCCACTCGTTCTTGACCCGCTAGCAGTTATGTTCCCCGCTCCCGTTCCCGCGAGGCAATGTGCTGCTTTTAGGCGTTCCTCGAGGGCGTGGCGGCGGTTGGCAAAACGTAGGCCCACTCCATTCTCTGAGTCACTCTGGGTGCCATCCTCATGTTTGCTGCCTATCAGGACACAACAAGAGAGAACACAGTTGAGTTTTTACTATTCTTGTTTTTCAACAACAAATGCTTGGTGGGAAAAATAGACTAGTTTTCTATGACAGTATTCCACATGACGCAGTATAAATGTCTACCAGTTACAATCACAATCAAATAGATCTGTTTGCATATCTGGGTTGGGTTCAAACTATTTATGTATCTACAACTGCTGACTTATACTGTAACCTAGAGACATATCCTGGTAACCTGTTGGATGTTACATGAACTACTATTCTTAAATCCATATCTTAACATGTGTACACAACAGTACTATAGCACCATACAACAGCTGTTGTGCATCCATAAAGATACAACACAGTAGTAGAGTGCAGCACAGAACCACATCTTCCTAAAAGCACATCCAAAACAGATGCTATGTTCTCAATGCCTGGTTTACCTCCCACATTACTGCTATTTCTAAAATGTGATCAGTCTGGGTTAAATCAGCACGTCCTCTCAGTTTTGTGCGAAGGCAGACAGTGTGCCACCCTGATCCGGACATGCCACCCACACGATTACTGGCCCTGCCTACTGCCAGTGAGAGGGCAGCAAGGGGGAGGGGAGGAGGAGAACATGGAGAGAAGGAAGCTGGGAGAAAGGGCTACGGGGATGGAGGAGGAGGGGAGGTGAGAGTAGACTGGGAAAGAAAAGGGGAGGCTTGACTGGGAAGGAGGATGGGGAAGAGGAAAAGAGGTTGGATGGGAAAGTGGAGGAACTGAATGAAGTGGGAGGAAATAAAAAGCCAAACAGAGAGGGGGGGGGGGGGGGGTTCTTAAGGCTCAGGTTGTTATAGTATATTACCATTAGAGTTAACAACCACTCAATCAATCAGCTGTCAGTTAACCAGCAAACAGTCAGTCAGGGTATTAGATAGAGAGGTGGAAAAAACACACACACACGACTGTTGTTGTGGATGATCATTGGAAAACACAAACCACTTTCATAACTCATCGCACATGTTTGGATGAAATTTGTTTCTCATGCTATGTCCCAACTAATGAATGAAAATAAATTCATCACTCCATAATGTAGAAACTACATCTGTCCCAGCTCACCAGCAGATTATCTTAATCAATTTATTTCTTTACATTTTATATAGTGTGAGATTATATACATATTTTAAAAATCATTGGAGTGAAATAACCAAGTGGTGATGTTTAAAGCCGTTTTCACTGTAGCTACACGGTGCTCGAGATAAATCAAGTAGTAGAGGTGGACTGCTCTCCACGAGGACAGAGGACACAATGCTTCCACGGCTGACTGGACCATAACCGTCCACACACAGTGACTTTGAATCAGTCTGATGTCTTTTCTTTCTAGATTCATCTTAACTGTGATCTGCACTGAAAGTCAAATTATGGATAACCATTGAGATATTGCATGTTGGAGAATGACAGCAACAATTGACAAGGTGTAATTAGAAATTAATGGTGAGTGGTAAATGGACTTTTTCTATTCTTCCGACCACTCAAATCGCTTTAACACTACATGTCATTCACCCATTCACACCTATTCATACACTGCTACCACGCAAGGTGCCACCTGCCCATCAGGACTATGTTATCATTCATACCCATTCATACACCGCATGCACAGCCTGACACCTGCAGAGCCAGGGATCGAACCGCCGATCCTCTGACTGAAGGACGACCCGCTTCCCACTGAGCCACAGTCGCCCACATAGTTTACTCGTCAAGTTAGTACTGCTCAGTATGTGAAGCAGTTGAATAATGTCTTTTGTAGAGACGTCATCATCACAGAGATGTCACAGAGGGTTATCTCGATTCAGCCTTGGAAAGTTGGCATTTAGAACAGAAAGCCTGCGTTACAAAGGGGGGGGGGGCTTGAAAGACGTCAGACAATACGGTGTTGCTGGGTGATAATTCAATGTTTATCATCTTTTATCTTTAGTATTGTATCGTGATGAAATCATATATCGAGGTGCCGTGATACACAATAACGTTGTCTAAATTGATAATAACAAACACACACTGACTCAAAATTCTCAGAAAGTCAGGCTTTATTATGTGATTATTTCATATTGACTATTTCTTTATTGAACTACCAGAAAACATATTATCTCGTGATATAAATCTTTCATATCAAGATATCTCAAGCTCTCCTGTTTTCTTTTTTTTTGTCTCTCAGAACCCTGTCAAATTTATTTAAGTAAAATATTAAATTGCTGTTTTAATAAAGTTCTGTTTCTACACTGGGGTATCCCAAAAGCTCTGTGGCCTCGGGCCCATTTCAGACTCTGCAGCTCATTTGTCACATCCCACCACTCAGCTCCTCCGGCTTTCCTGTCTTTTATCACTGTTTGAAATTAAATAAAGCATATATTTCATGGGGGAACAAAAGCATAAATGGAATGAGGGAGGAAAGCAGCAGAGCGTTACAGCAGGTTGAGCAGATCAGCAGATAAGCTGACAGAGAGAGGCAGGTCTTTCATGCTATGTCCCCCAGACAAAGAAGCCGTTTGCCGGGCAAGAGGAGAACAGAGTTATCTGTGAGAGTCCAGCGCTCGGCCCCGCTCGCCCCGCCATGACTCACAGGGGAGCTGAACTCTGTCTCCGCTGCTGGCTGCACACACACACACGCACACACACACACACACACACACACACACACACACACACACACACAC